AAATGGAGCACTCTAAGAATTTATAGATATTGTAAATGATTACAAAGTACTTTCAACATTTGGGAAGAAGTTTCTAATTATTTTTGGCTGTTGCAAAGTAGTACAAATGAAAACATTTGGTTTTCGTTTTGTAACTAGTGCTACCTAGAGAAACTATCTGTTCGGCCTTTAGTGGCTCACGTGGGTTTTTTCCCGAGTGATTGAGGTGAGCAAATTATGCCAGTTTAAGGTAAGAACAAGATAGTTCAGTGTTTTCTTTCTTTCTTTTCCTTTCCTTTCCTTTTTTTTTTTTTTTTTAAGAATTTATTTATTTGAGAGAGAGAGAGCCAGAGAGAGAGCACGAGTGGGAGACGGGGAGAGGGAGAAGCAGACTCCCCGCTGAGCAGGGAGCCCGATGCGGGGCTCGATCCCAGGACCCTGGGACCATGACCTGAGCCGAAGGCAGATGCTTAACGACTGAGCCACCCAGGCGCCCCAAGATAGTTCAGTGTTAATTTATTTTTATTTTTTGCTTTTTGGATAATTCTTGTCAACGGGTGAGGGGCTTCAACTAGGAGCAAGAAAAGAAGGGCAAAGGTAAAAGTAAGGTCTTTTGCTTTCAGAATTCGAAAATTTTCAAACTTGCTTCAGATGTTTACTTAGATGCTCTAAAACTGAAAATCTGTATCCTTGGCTTGGAAGGTCAGTGAGTGAACCAGAGAGAATGCAGTGACTGCTTTTCGGGATATCTGTGGATGCATTCAGTGCTCTTGTTACTCTGTTTCTTCTATACTTTTGCTAAGAATTATGGAATTTAAAAGTTTACCGTATAAAATATCTGGCACTTCTGTGCTCCACCCCGATGCGCTGTGATGCACCCACTTACCTCGCACACTACCTTTCCCCAGCTCGGGTCCTCCCCCATTGGGGCCCAGAGCCTCTCTCCCTGTGTCAGGGTGGCGGGGGTGGGGGCTCCTGGGAGTTGCCTGCCTGTTGACAGTTGGAGTTGGGGTCTGTGTGTAACAATGGATCTGTTTCTTAGAAACTATGCTGCTTGCTAAGAAAATTACCCTCTTCATTTCTGGTTTTAGTAGGGAGGCCTTGGCATTTGTCCAACAGTTAATGAGAATTCATGGTACAATTATGTTATATTTTTTTCTCAGTTCTTTCTGTGTTTGACACATGGTGAAAATTAAAGAACCTTGAGTGGAAAATGCATCAATGAAATAAAAGCAATTATGTTCTGGCCTTGGTTTTTTTTCCTCTATAACTATATATTTTTCAGAGGATTAATTAAATGCTAGGATGTACCTATTCCTTTCAGTGTTTGCTGGGAGATTGATTGCACGCTACTTTGCCCTCAGATGAAGTGATGCTTTCATAATTTCTAAAGATAACTGAATTGTCTGAGTTTTTTATCTTTTAAAATAAATTGTCTTATTGCTCTTACTGATAAAAACCCTGCTACAGTCCAACTATCAGGGTAAATTAGTGTGTTGTTTGTAGAAACTAGCTCTTCTCTTTTAAGTGAATAACTGATAAATACAGTTTATATGCAGTTCATCTAATCTTTTGAACGGTAGGCCACAGAGCAATTGGGTGACCTTTTAGATTACTCGTGGTGGGCTTATAATGTTTTAAAAAATTTCTGTCAGGAATAATTGACGTGTATCTTCAGGTGATGATAGCTTAATTATAGTAGTACCGATTATCCCTCAAAGCTGTCACTAGTTATGTATTTAAAATTAGAAAGGGGGAATATAAATTAAAAAAAATCTTAAAATATAAAGATCAATAAATACCTTGGTAATTTCAATTTGTGTCTGAAGATAAGAAATTTGAGTTGAAAATAAATATAGTGATCTCATCCTCTTGGTCATAAAAATATTGGCCTTTATTCAAATATCTACTTATAAGGAGATTGGCTGTGTATAATTGATACCACCTAGCTAGGCCTGACTTAACAGGGATCAAATATAAGACCTTAACATCATTAAAAATCTTGTTTCTTTAAATATTTATCCTTGGGAGTAGATTTCCCTGAACAGAAAAAAAAAATCTTTTTTGTTTGATTGCCTTGGAAAAGTGATATTACTGAGAAGTTTTTTTGTTTTTGTTTTTTTTTTACTGGCACCCTATGTTCACTCATTGGTATGAATTACTCCGTTCTTTTGGACAATATTTTTTCTGATTTAAAAATATTTACTAATTAAAAATTTTTGAGCATATTAACAGAGAAAGTTTATTAGTAATCCCATCATGAACAGATGACCTGTTAATATTTTTTGTATATTTCTCTCTTTGTGTATCAGATACTGTGCATGCATGATATTTTGTAACCCTTTTTACTTTAATTTGAAGTAAATAATGAAAAAAAACTTTTCAACCTTCATTGAGTATATTTCTGAAGCATACTATTTTGCATTCCTGCTTAACCAAATAACGTTTTTTTTTTAATAATGAAAACTTCACGCCATTAAATTTTATTATTCTGTACCAAGACTTCATAAAGCATGATCTCTGAAACTCCTGAATGTCAGCACATAAAAGTGTATTTTGTGGATATATGCACTGTTTTTTTCCTGGGAAGAAGATCTGTGTTATTTTTTTTTAAAGATTTATTTATTTATTTGAGAGAGCGAGAATGAGAGAGAGAGAGAGTACATGAGAGGGGGGAGGGTTAGAGGGAGAAGCAGGCTCCCCGCCGAGCAGGGAGCCCGACGCGGGACTCGATCCCGGGACTCCAGGATCATGACCCGAGCCGAAGGCAGTCGCTTAACCGACTGAGCCACCCAGGTGCCCGAAGATCTGTGTTTTTTTTCACCTGGTTCTCAGAACGGTTTGTGTTAGTTAAGAATGAACTTTAGTTTTAATGACTACATGATACTGTTTTATAATTTGTTATATATTCCCTTGTCTTTAGACAAGTAGTAGTATATTGGAAGTGTAATGTACTCTGACCAAAAATATCTTACTCTAGTAATGCAAGGATGCTATTTTATTCATAATTTTTTCATCTGTATTCACAAAGGAAACTGGCCTATACTTTCCATTTTGGGTATTATTTTTCTTTTAAAGATTTATTTATGAGAGCGAGAGAAGGGGCAGAGGGAGAAGGAGAGAATCCTCAAGCAGACTCCGTGCTGAGCCTAGAGCCCGACACGGGGCTCGATCTCAAGACCCCAAGATCATGACCTGAGCTGAAATTGAGTCAGCCACTTAACCAGGTGCCCATTTTGGGTATTACTTTTACAGGTTTTGCTAGTGTTATATGAGACCCATAAAATAAACTGAAGCATTCTGTATATTTTTCTGTGGTCCAGAATACTTTAACATAAGAATGTTGTTTTTTTTTAAGTTAAGTAGGCTCTGTGCCTTAGTGATAACATTTTACATTTCTGGTTTCAAGTTCTCTCTTCTTGGGTTAATTTTGGTTATTTATGTTTTGCTAGGAAATCATTAATTTTATATTGCTATATAATTACTGAAAGTATTTTTAAAGTTCTTTAAATACATTTCGTCTCTGTGGACACACTTCCCTTAGTGAGGGTTGTGTGTTGTTCACCTGGTTATTTGGAACTTGTGTCAGAATCACTGAAGAGGCACTTCAGATATGTTATGACTTAACTGGATTTTACAGTCCCGCTAGGGAGCCAAGTTGCCGTGCGTAACATGGCCCGTGCTGAGTCTCAAAGCCTCTACCTCCTAACTTAAGACACTACCAAGTACTGACATTGTGGTCCAAGTGCCATTTAAAAGGAACTGGGGCTCCTTGGAGGAGGGGCTGAGTCTAGGTCTGGGGGAGAAAGGGAGATGAGCCTAGAGCATCCAGAAGCAAAGAAGACACCTTGGCTCAGGTCTAAAGGACTTCGCAGCCAGCTTGAAGAGGCTCTCGTCATCCCAGAATGGGAACCCTGGAGTGCCAATAAGGATAACAAGTGTATGGGTTGGAACACAGATGCACTTAACTCCAGGTTCATGATGATGAAACACAAAGCCCACTGGTCACCATTGGAGGCTGGGAAATAAAGATGCTATCAAATACCTCCTCAGCCTCTCTTGATCTAGTCAGCTTTCCTCCCTTTTGATCTATTGATATAATTAATGACAGTGAGAGTTTCTGATGAGGTGTCCTAGTTCAGAGGAAAAGATGGTGCACCAGCTGACTGGCAAAATCTGGATGAGCAAGGATGAGAACATGGAACGTCCTGCTTGTGGGAGTGTCAGTGGACATGGCTATTTGGAAAGGAAGTCTGGCATGTCTATAAGAACTAAGATTTGCTTTGACTGAGCAGCTCTATCTGAAATCGAGTTTACAGAGATGAAAGCATGATTCTATTAGGACATCTAGCTGAAAAACGAGAGTGGCCTCGTTGTGGGAGCAGGTGAGCTGGAATCTAGCAATTTAGCTGGCTCTCAACACCCATGCCATTTCTGTTGTCAGAGGTCAGGCTGGTCAGTGGGGTCAGCGAAGGTGAAGAGCACAGTGGACAGCGGAGGAGCGTCTGAGCAGGGCTGGTTCTCGGGAAGGTCACTTCCTGCAGCGCTCTTGGTAGAGGGGTGCTGCCCACCTGTACGTCCAGGTCTCTCTGGAGCCCTCAGTCCAGGAGCGGAGTATGTTAGCTTTGGGCCCTCTGAGCTCCAGACTTGGGGGCTCTGCAAGAGAGAGCCTGTGGAGGGCTGCACACGGGCTGGGGGCGGGCAGCTCCCCTCTAGAGGCCTGCATGTTTTTACTGAGGGAGGAGAACTCCACCCTCTCACCCAGACCCTCGAGGTTACACAGCAGAGGGTTACCACTGATGCTCATCGTGAAGACTACATCTTCGGGAATTCTTCATTTAAAAAGTCTGGGACACATGTGATTCCATTTAGAGAGTGATGTATCCAAAATGCTTTTTAAGGCAAGTTTTGCCGTATAAAGGGCGAGTCTCCTGTATCTCGAGAGCTTTGCTCCCAGGAGGACTCCTTTGGTGTTGCCGTTAGCAGATAGTTTGCCGCGAGGGTCACTGTCTGATGTGGCTGTGTCTCTGCTCTCAGTTTTTTGTAGCCTCCGACCCGGCAGTGAAGACAGACCGTCTGTGGCAGGACAAATATACCTTGCGAAAATCCATGATCCCCTCCTTCATCACAATGGACCAATCCAGAAAGGCAAGGCCGGGAGACAGACTCGGGGCTTTGTAGCTGCCTGCATCATGTGACAGAACCAGTCTTCTTAAACACAGTGTTACTGCATTTTAGGATTAGGAGTGTATATGAATTGAATGCATTGACCTATTAATATGTGTTTGTTAATAATGTCTTTTCAGTTCCTAGAATTCACTTGATACTATGCCAGACATTCTTGTTCTTTAGTTTTTAATTAATAGTTTGTTGCGTATGAATACTTGTAGTAGTTGGATGATTGATCATTTTTATTTAAAGGTAACTCTAGGCTATTTTCCTTTTCAGGTCCTTTTGATAGGAAAATCAATAAATTTCTTGCACCAGGTTTGTCACGACCAGACGCCCACTACAAAGATGATAGCAGTGACCAAGTCTGCAGACTCGCCCCAGGACGGTACGAGCGTGATGGGGAGGTGGGGGGCTGCCTGTAAACATACTGCTTGGAGCCTTCTTCGTCCAGGAGGATTGACTGATTTTCTGAATTGTTATCCAAAATACCTTAATACATAGTGTGATGTGTGTGAAATATTACTATGCAAATTTTCAATTCCTTTTTTTTATGTGGAGTTAACAAGTATTGGAAGAGTAGCAGTTTTATACTTCGTAATTCCTCTTAGTAATTTATACTGCTATTTTTTTTAAATGCTATAGTGATGGTTTGCTGAGCTAAGAAAGGACAGATGTTGCTGATGGTGGCCGCAGCTACCCCAGAGGCTTATTCAGGGATCAGCAGGGATTGACAAGTGTATTCGGAGTGCTGTGTTAAATTGCCGCCTGCTCTAAACGTTGTCTGGTTCCCTCCTTTGCTGCTGTCCTCTTCCGTTTCCCCCATTGGCTGCCCACCCCCCCCCCGCCCCAGTAGTTCCACAGCGGTTTGTGCGTGGCCGACTTAACGTGTACAGCTTTCTGGTCTTGGCTGTGTTTGCTGCTCACGTGCTCATTCTGACTCTGTGCGTGGGACAGCGTGGTAGGTGTAGGCAGGACGGTAGGAATGATTGTTCATGGTGGTGGCTGTGCCTTTCATGGAGAGAAACATGTACAGTAAAATGAAATCATGAATTATCAGCAGTAAAAGGAAGTGCCAGGTGAGACAGACAGATAAAGCTGTCAGTGTTTGGTACTGTAGGGTTGGTTGTAGGCGCTGGGTGTACGCTAGACCCAGGCCTTATTCACCTGGCATCACTAGACCTTTGTCCCCTGGGACTGTCCTCTCCTCCCCTCAGCCCTGCAGCCACCAGCTCACTCCTGCTCTGAGTTGGATGGCTTTGGATTCCACACAGAAGTGATACCAGCTGGTATTTCCCTTAGCATAATGTTCCCCAGGTCCGTCCGCGTTGCCACAGCGGAATTGCCTTCTTTTTAAAGGCTAAGTCATACTCCATTTTGTGCGTATCCCACATTTTCTTTAACCATTCGTCTCTCGGTGGATGCTTGGGCTGCTTCCGTATCTTGTGTATTATAAGTAATGATGCAATGAACATAGGGTGCACGTATCTTTTCAAATTAGTGTTTTCATTTTCTTTGCGTAAATACCCCGTAGTGGAATTACTGGATCATATGGTAGTTTTATTTTTAATTTTTTGAGGACACTCCAAAGCATTTTCCACAGTGACCGCACCGGTTTGCATTCTCACCAGCTGTGCCCAAGGGCTCCCCTTTTCTCTGCATCCTCGCCAACACCTGTTGTTCTTGTGTTTTTGATTCTGGCCATTCTGACAGGTGTGAGGTGCTGCCTCTCTGTGGTTTGATTTGCATTTCCCTGACGGTGAGTGGTGTTGAGGTTCTGCTCATGTGCCTTTTGGCCCAATTTGATTTTTAGTGTCTGAGAGGACTCACTGGAGGAGGTCTCCAGAGTGTACTGGAAGAGCTACACTGAAAATCCAGATGGAGGTCAGGGCCTGCTGTAGGGCTTTGGGAAGCGCCCATGCACCATGCTGGTTAAGGACAGGGCTCAGTGGCATCGAGGATGCTCCAGCTGTTGAGATCAGAGGCCTCTCCTCCCTGCCCCACGTGCTTCTAACACACACAACTCAGCCATACACGTTTTAGGAAGTGTAGACCCAGTTTAGTTCTTAGAGTAAGAGAGAGAGTGGTCCAAGAACAGATTTTTGGGAAGTACCTATGTTTAAGAGGTAGAACAAGGAAGAAGAGCCAGGAGAATTGTATTGACAGATTTTGACCTTTTCCTCGTGCCTAGAGAAGACCGCCAGCTCAGGGCATGGAGCTTGGTGCCCGTGCTCACGTGCGGGGGTCGCGGGGGATTGTGGCTGCTGATGAGGTACATGACTGTCCTTTCGGTTGCAGTGACCACCCTGTGCCCGCGGTCCCCCACGCTGCTGCAGTCTGCAGGACGAGGCTTTCTTTGTTGTTAGGCTAGTAGTACGGTTGGGAAGCTGAAAGACAGCAAACCTGGAAAGACTGCTAGGGACACAAAAGCAGGGGGAAAAAGTCGATTTTCTATTTCTTACATGTGAAAAATTTTGAATATTTGAAAGCATGACTAAAGAATAAAGAGTCCAGTTTTACAAACAAGAGCGTGGGAGAGGCCTAACCCATTAGGGAACAAGGAGTGTTGTGGGTATGGTGTCTCATTGGCCACGCTGGGCTCAAGCCGGTTAGGGTTCAACCTTTCCTCTGGAATGTAAATCCTCTGTCACTCCGCTGTGGTTCAGGAAAAATGTTTCTGGGGGGTAATATTTACATTTTTAAAACTACGTAGTTCAACAGAAGTATGCTCCCCACTCTGCACGGCCTCTTAAAATGTGGTCACGGTACCACTCACATGTCCACACGTCATGTCCTCACATTACTGCGTCATCGGACTCCACCTTGGTGGAGAGCAGCGTGCGCTTCCACACTCCGCACACCCACGGTAACGCGTGGTCTCACTCCACACACCCGCGGTAACGCGTGGTCTCACTCCACACACCCGCGGTAACGCGTGGTCTCACTCTTACAGCCAGGCTCGCAGTTGACAGAGCTCATTCTTACGCGTGCCGTCCTGTGTCTTCTCCAGCCCGCTTCCCAAAGTGTCTCGTAGGCGCAGTGTGACGTGCCCTGCACTGCACTGCTCACCAGCATGTTGGAGTGTGGTTTTGGGTTCGTCATATTGCAGAGGGTGACTTGACCTTGAGATCCAGCAAGTGCCAGACTGCTGTTGGGGCCCCTCTCCCAGGTCACGGCTGGCCACACGGCTGCACGTCTGTGTTCTGGGGCTGGGGGCTCACTCACCTTCCCGAGCACGCACCCGGCCAGTTGGGTCTGCCACCGAGGCCACTGGGGGGTTTTGGCAATGGCTTTTGTACATGGGAGCCTTTCGTTTTATCCTTATGAAAATACAAATTACGTACGTCTGTGTATTTCTCCTTTTGTTCTTTATAGCTGCAGATTTGTTCACAGACTTGGAGACTGCATTTCGGGGCAAAATTGACGCGGCTTACTTTGAGACCAGCAAGTACCTGCTGGACGTGCTGAACAAGAAGTACAGCTTGCTGGACCACATGCAGGCCGTCAGGCGGTACCTGCTTCTCGGCCAGGGCGACTTCATTCGGCATCTGATGGATTTGCTAAAGTAAGGGAGCCTTCGGGGCCCTTGGGCACACGGTCTTAAAGGAAGACTTGCTGAATTCTTGTAGAACATATTGGTAGGATGAAATTTGAGGAGACGAAGTTGTCCCTTTGTTTGTGCTCATTCTGTGCCTCGTTCCCAGAGGAGCCTGTGTGCCTGGGGAATGCCGTGGCACGACGGTCCAGGGTCCGAGGGGCGTGCAGGGGGATCACACTTAGCTCCAAAAAACCTATTGTTTCAGACTGAACTGTCTCCCATAGTTTTAGTTTAAGTTGTTTCGTGGGGAAAAAACTCCCATAAAACAAATATTATCACTCTTTTTGTTTTGTTCTGGGACATTTTTCATGGCATCTTCTCTTCTAGAACTAGCTGTGTGTCTTTCCCCTTCCCTCCCCTCTGTCCCAGAGCCTGTCCTGCTCCATCTAGACAGACAGACCCTCGGGATGCGGCCTGGGCTCCCAGCTGGCGCTGGCGAGCGAGCGCACCGAGTGTGGGTGGTTTTCACTCAGGTGTGGAAGAATGGAGATCGGGGTTGTTCGATATTCCCTTTAGAACACTTAAAAGAGTGCGTTGCCTTCCAGTCTTGGCTGTGCAATCATGCGGTGGTTTTAGTGGCCCGGCGCTCAGAATTCCTGAGGGAGCTGGTTGAGGCGGATCGCTGGACCCACCCGCGGAGTGGCTCTGTCCCTCTGGGGGGAGCCAGGGATGTGTGTTTCTCCTGAGGCCCCCACTTCAGACATGGGCCCCTGCGTCCCTCTTCTACCCAGAAGTCCCATCTTCAGTGTGAAAAGTAGCTAGTTTGGGGCGCACACAGTGATGACTGACCTACACGCTCGCGCTCATGGGTAACTGTGCGGTCAGCTTGAGCAGGGGTTGGTGATCTGCTTCGCTCCTGCACCCCGAGTAGGGAAGGGGCCTCTGGTGGACTCAGTCCTGATCGCAAGGTCAGTGCCTGCTGGCAGTGTGGGTGGGGATGAGTGTGTGAAGGGGAGGTGCCATTGGCCTAAATGGGGGTTCACGTGAGCGTGTGGAATGAGTGGTGCCTGGGGTGCAGGTGGAGGTTGGCCAGGTGGTTCTTTCAGTTCAAGGCAAAATGCAGAGGTCCGTGGTCACATTATGGATCTGATCACTTAGCTGACCTAACGTACTTGTCTTATGCTAGGTTTTTCTATTTAGAGCATCTCATAAGGCATGTTTCAGGTCTATGGTTCTAAGAGGGGGGAATGCCACTGATCTCTAGCCTCAGATGTGTGAGTGACGGTGCTGCAGTCCTTCATTTCTCTCTGCCCTGTGTTTTACTGCCGCGAGGGCTTGTAGCTGCGGAGCTCCAGTGCACATCTGGGAATGATTGGCAGGGGTTTCCCATCTTAGTGACAAATAGTTGAATACGTCACTGTGTAAATGTGAGGTGTACAGCGTGATGGCTTGATTTCCATCTATTCTGTGGTGGAGACCACGGTCGGCTCAGCTAATATCCCTTCTTCTCATATAGACACACAAAATGAAAAGAAAAACAGGAAACAAGGTTTTCTCCTTGTGATGAGAACTCCTAGGATTTGCTCTCTTACCAGCTGCCCTGTGTGTCACACGGGTTGTTGGCCACGTGGTACACTCCGTCCCTTACAACGGCAAGTGTATACCAGCTGACCCCCCCAACACACACACAACGGCCGTGCTCTTAACTTGGCCGGCTCTCAGCCATAGGAACGTTAGCTTCTTACTGAGAAACCCTGACATTAGCAACCCTGAAGAAGTGTTTGCTGATGATGCAGTCATTTTTAGCTGTTAGAATCATGACGTCCGTGTATCCGGCTGTTCTGATGTAATGAGGACCTCTCTTCCCATTGGACCTGTGCAGGAGATCACAGTAGTTCATGTCACTGTAGCCCAGACTTAAGTTGAAAGCTTTATTTTTAACATGTGTGGCACATGTAAGTATTTTCAAGTTAAGTGGAATCAAAATTAACTTTTTTGAAGATTTAAAGAACTGTTTTACTTGCCAAAATACTTGGTGAAATCCTCTTGTCAGTTAATTTCGTAAAACTTTTTCCTTTAAAGATTTTATTTATTTATTAGAGAGAGAGGGAGCAAGAGCACGGGGAGGGGCAGATGGAGACGCAGACTCCCTGCTGAGCAGAGAGCCCGATGCGGGACTCGATCCCAGGACCCTGAGATCATGACCTGAGCCGAAGGCAGACGCTTAACCGACTGAGCCACCCAGGCGTCCCTAATTTTGTGAAACTTTTATTCCCATATTGTAGTGGTTTCTTTTGTCTTTTTGGTTTTTATAATTTGAACCCTTTTTATGATTTTGAGTTTTACAAAGCTCATTAAGGATTCAAGTAACATTTTCTTTAATTTTTAAAAATCTGTTAAGACCAGAACTTGTCCGTCCAGCTACGACTTTGTATCAGCACAACCTGACTGGAATCCTTGAAACCGCTGTCAGAGCCACCAACGCCCAGTTTGACAGCCCCGAGATCCTCAAGAGACTGGACGTGAGGCTCCTGGAGGTACCGTGGCCCTGCTCCTGCGTGGCAGTGAGCTTGCTCGAGTGCACGTAGTCTAGCCTGGCGGGAGGGGCGTTGTTGCTGCATGGCCCGATCGTCGATGAGCGCGCTGGGCGGGACCCTGGGCACAGAACCCGAGCACTCGCCACGGCGCCTGGCAGCGCACTGTGGAGTGGATCTTACTCCTGTTACTGGTAAGGTTGTAGGAGCCGCAGGGATGATATATAATGATAATGCCTATCAAAATAATAACATTTGTTGAAAATCGATATGTTTCAGTTTGCTAGAAGATGGATTTTCTTTAGGGAATGAGCATCAGCAACACTGTACACTGTTTGCTTAGCTATGATGAAGGACCGTTGGCAGGGTCCGTTGGGTTTTAAAATGTTGAGTTTTAAAGGATTTGGGACATAGAAGACCGAGTTTCTGTTGTAAAAATATAGTGACTAATTTTAAACAGATTTTTTGGTACTCATTCCAAGTCTGCAGAGCGCCTCCTCAGTGGCTGTGGTTCCAATGCCGAAGGTACGGGAGTTGACAAAAAGATGCAGTTCTCATGTAGCTGACACTCAGAACTACTGAGCCTTTCTCTGGGGACTGGGCAGGTCCTTTGGCAGTAAGCGGGGTACTGGCCGGAAAGCCTGCAGTGCTTGTGTTTGTCCCCAGGTCTCTCCAGGTGACACCGGGTGGGACGTGTTCAGCCTGGACTACCACGTCGACGGGCCGATCGCAACGGTAAGGCCATGCTGGGTGATGGGACGCTGGCTGCAGCTCCTCACGTTGCTAGCCGTTGTGTTGTTTTAGGACTGGCCATCTTCTCCAGGAGCTTCTAGAGAAAGCCATCACTTGACATCTAGGATAGACCCACCGAATGAATACTGAAGCCAGAATCGTGTGTGTATTTTAGATGATCATTAATGAGTGCTGAAATGATCTATAATTTTAAGAATTCTTAAAAATACCCTTTGTTCCATCATAGGTTTCAGCAAGTACTTAATAATGAATTGCTGATTGTGCTCTGTTGTTCTTAGACCATAGCAAGTAATTTGGGGTGGTTTGAAAGGAACCGCAAAGTGTATTTCAGGAGAGTCACATTTTTGCTACTTCGATCAAATGTGATATTTAGCGTCATTTAAACTGTCGGGGAATAGCTGTACTGTCGTATGGAGTGCGTTTGCTGCACTTAACGAACGTGCTGCTTCTTCCCAGCCGTCCCCACACGGGGGGGAGACTGACCATCGGCGTGTGTCTGCACTTAGCCTGCCCCTTCCCTCAGCGCTCACGCTTTTATTCAGACAGGAGCGAAGCCTCCTTCACAGGAAGCTTCTTTGGACTTACTCCAGTCGTTCTGTATCCGAAATATTGAAGGAGGACGTGCATTTCTTTTAATTACTGGGGAAAATACTCCGTTAAGGAGTGATATAATTCCTCCGGGACGAGTACCACCCCCGTCCGGGTGCTTTCATGGGGCTGCCCTCCCGCTGCGCCCCCTGCAGCGTAATGGCAGCTCCCGGTGCACCTGCTTTTATACGCACGTCCTCACTGTTTAAACCTGACCAGGTCAAAGCCACCGTAGTGTAAATGCATAACTGCTCTTAAATTTAGTTTTTGTCATATCCAAATTAGTTTTTTCTCCTTTGATTTCTATCCTAAGTGGTTTTAAGTTCTTATTCCTTAAAATATTCTGTTCTCAGGCGCCTGGCTGGCTCAGTCGGTTAAGCGTCCAACTCTTGATTTCGGCTCAGGTCATGATCTCAGAGTCCTGAGTTCGAGCCCTGTGCTGGGCTCCATGCTAGGCATGGAGCCTACTTTAAAAAAAAAAAAAAAAATTCTCTACATGATTATTTAAATCAGGAACCTTCACATTATCTACTCTGTTACTGTTGAGTACACTGCATACTATTTTTTCGTAGTGTAAAATATACCATAGTAAAGGCAATCGTATTTTGTTATTTTGAAGGTAAGTGCCTTGAGTATTAGGTAAATTGAACACGGTCCATACACATAGTTACTGAATTATCTCACAGTGCTGCAGACCTTACTGGGCGTACACAGTAATGCGTGGCACATCTTGTGTGTGAACATTTGGTTATGCAGTGTATTTTTCAAATTTTAGATTTTTGAAAGCTCTAGTCAAAACAGTCAAGAACTTTATATCACAGATTTAAAGAACAGATTTAGGATTGATCCCTAGCTGTGGCTAGCAAGCGTTGACTTCCATGCCAGCCCCAGCAGGTGGAGGGCACCCCTGGGGGGCCCCTCTGGGAGGGGGAGCAGGGCCTTGGAACGCATCAGCAGGACGTGCTGGGGACATTGTGCGGGACGTGATGTCTTGCACATCTGGCCTTTGCTGTTCAGTCCTAGGGTTAGCCTATGTCCCGGCTTGTTATATTTTCAGCTACATGGGATATTTTATTGAAAGATCCACTTTGAGAGTCAAGTTTTGGAAGAAAATGGATTTTCTGCCTTTTCCCCGGTTTAATTTACTGTATTATCTCTATTCCCTTTATGTTCTCATTAATTGAGATTGTCATTTTTGTAGAGAATTTAATTATAATGAGAATATATATTAGTCACATAATTTTATCTTCTATAACATAGTATAATTTTAGTTTCTTACTAATTCTGTGAAGAAGGACATGGAGAGGGCGCCTGGGTGGCTCAGTCGGTTAAGCGACTGCCTTCGGCTCAGGTCATGATCCTGGAGTCCCTGGATCGAGTCCCGCATCGGGCTCCCTGCTCGGCAGGGAGTCTGCTTCTCCCTCTGACCCTCCCCCCTCTCATGTGCTTGCTCTCTCTCATTCTCTCTCTCTCAAATAAGTAAATAAAATCTTTAAAAAAAAAAAGAAGGACATGGAGAGATTATCTCTAATCTTCTCACCTGGGTACTGGGTAGGATAAAATCCATGGGTTTCTGTCCTTGATCTTCAGGGTATTAGATGAGGTGTCAGGAGCTTATTTGATATTTTTCTGAACTTTATTCCACGCAGGCAGTGAACTGAAAGACCAAATATGTGGCAAAACTAAACGTGAATGAAGGGTGTTTTCCCCTGTATAAATACAGTGGGGTAGGAGTGTTTTCTCTGAAACAGTTACTGTTTTTAAAGAATTGGATTAAACTGGATGTTTGTAAATTTGGGGCACATTAAATGTGCTCTGGAAGCCTGGCACTGAAGGATCCCTTGAGATGGCATTTGTGTAGCAGATTTCTTTAATTCACTTGTAAGTGGTTTCATCGCATCACCTTTATTTCTGTGATTGCATAAACAATAGTGTGGGCAGCACAGCGAAATAGATAATCCCCGAAACATTCATAGTTGATTCCAGAGTCCATTCAAAGCAGTTCCTAACCACTCCCATTTAGACATGCCATCGTGAGTTAGTAATTGGCACCTGCCAAATACTGGCACAGGAAGGCCTGCAGGAGAATAGACAGGTAGTCCTTCTAACACGTGAGCAGTGCTGAGAATATACAAAAGAAGAAGACGGGGCACAGCAGTATACTGCGAAGTGCTCAAATTGCAAGGGTCCAGTGATAAATGTCCTGTCTGCAGAAGGGGCCGGGGAAAGGCTTGTGGCCTTTGTCCTTGAGGGCCAGGCGGGGTCTGGGCCGGAGGAGAGTGTGGGCTAGCTAGGGCATAAGGGGTGCAAGGGGGTGATGTGAGGGAAGGCCCCAGGGTGAAGGGCCATGCTCCTGGAGGCCCAGAGCTGCTGGGCGGGCTGTTTCCAGTTGTTTGTGCTGCAAGGGGAGCGCTGGGCACACGGGAGACGCATCCCTTGCTCAGGGCATCTAGGAAAGGGCAAACGTGTGCCCACATCTGTTCTGCACACACACAGGAGTGTCAGAAACATGTTTGCATGGGACAGACGGACACTAGAAGATTCTCTGTGGTTCACCTGACGTGCGTATTTAACTGGCCCCCATAGGAGAGAGGTGGGCGTGGAAGGAAGGCCTCGTCCCACCCCTGCCCACAGGGCTCATCCTCCCGGGACGGGACACTGCTGGCCATTTGCAGTGAAATGGCTTCAAGAGCAAAACATACATATGTGAAAACAACCCGGAGACCTCTTTACAGGCTGGAAATCCTTCCAGGCCCACTGTCCATGAGATTCACCACCCTCACATCTCCCTTGGCGGGGGGGGGGGGGCGGTGGTAGAAAAAACTGCTACATAGCTGGAGCTGGAGTTAAGAGTCCACATGGTCGACTAAGGTTTAGGCTAGGTTTAAAAGTCCCAACACACCGCCTACTAGTGTGTAACCTTAGGCCTCTGTTTCTCAGTCTATGAAATTGGTATAAAAATATCTACCTTTTATTACTGTGAGTTTGCTTGACATGCTGCTTAACACATCATTAATCACTGTAGTTGAATATAATGATACTTTCCTAAAATGTATTAGTTCCTTAATACCACTTAGAATTTATTAGAGTTGATTGTGTGTTCTTAGGCTTTTTTTTGCTTAAAAAAAAAAAAAAATGAAGAAAGGTCAAGGCCTGTCCTGGTAAGATCCTTCCATCACAGAGTACTACCAACCTGTCTGGGGCTGTTCTTTTCAGGTGTTTACTCGAGAGTGTATGAGCCACTACCTGAGAGTATTTAACTTCCTTTGGAGGGCTAAGCGGATGGAATACATCCTTACCGACATTCGAAAGGGACATATGTGCAATGCGAAGCTCCTGAGGAATATGCCAGGTAAACTCACCACCGGGTGGTCACGGGGCCTGCGTCGCGGCCTGACCTGTGCTTGCTAGCAACTTAGCCAACAGGGACACGTATTAAAGTCACCAACCTGAGAAGTGATGCATTTTTGTGCTTTTGGATTTGGTTTTTGTGAAAAGGCTCATTTGTAATATTGCTAATCTTGATTTCTGTGCAAATCCGGAAGAAAATTGAGTCAAGTTAGATTATTTTAGATCATGAGGTTTCTTTCAGAGTTATATTCGTTTGCACTCTAGTGTTCACATATGGATTTTATTTTTTTAATTAATTTTTAAGGAAAGAAAGCTGTTTAATAAATCACTGGTTCATTTAAAATTCACTTAGTGTTTTGATTAAAGTCTGTTTGGGAATTGCTTTAATGTTTGTTTTGGTGTGTAAACCAGGACATGGAAACATTTTGTAATATTATTTTACAATTACTAGCTGTAATAAAAATTCTCATGTCAGATAGCCGGGTTTATTTTAATGTTTTAAATATTGAATAATTTCAGTTATGAATAATTTTGAAATCTTCATATTGAAATTCGTTTGTTCAAGACCTTTGAGAAAGTATTTCAACAATGTGTCTTTCAAGAGAAACAGCACTGATAGATTCTTAATACTTTGATGAAAGTGATTATTGAAAAAGGAGCCATTGAGGGGCACCTGGGTGGCTCAGATGGTTAAGCATCTGCCTTCGGCTCGGGTCATGATGCCAGGGTCCTGGGGTCGAGCCCCATGTTGGGCTCCCTGCTCGGTGGGGAGTCGGCTTCTCCCTTTCCCTCTGCCTCTCCCCTGCTTGTGGTCTCTCTCTCTCTCTCTAATGAATAAATAAAAAATCTTTTAAAAAAAAAAAAAAAGGAGCCATTGTTTGAAGACAGGCAGGCGTGATCTCTCCACGTTTATTAGGTCAAGGCTGATCCTTAAGCAGCTCCCAGAGTTCCAGAATAATGACAACCCAGAGGAGGGGGTCGGTGTGTTGACAGACAGGATGGGCAGTTTGTATTGGGGGCATCCCATGCTTTCTGTATTCACAGCTCTTCTTTTCCTGGGGATCAGGATGCCCTAATTCTCCTGGCCTCGCTTCCTCTGGACTCACTTTGTAGAAAATTAATAATAAGGACCCTCTGACATAGCTGAAAAGTGAGAGCGAACATTTTCTTTTAACTACCATGATGGACATGGACAGGAAATACTGCCTTTGAGTATCTCTAGTACATGTGGGCCGCCTGGTAGAGGGGCTGCTTTGTGAAGGAAGGCAGGAGGCATCCGTCCCTCAGAGGGCCTCACGGTCTGCTGGCTCTGCACCTGTCCCCCTTCTCCATGGTGTGTCTCAGGGTGACTCATGCCGTCTGCTGGGTGCGCGCTGTCGAGCTATCCTGATTGCTGGCCTTGTGCCCTTCCTGGGGCGCATCCAGCGCTACGGCCTGAGTGGTGCTGCGTCCCCCTTCCTGCCCGATTCGGACCGGCTCCAGGTAGTGCAGATACTCCATGCGTCAGGGATGGTCTGGGGAGTCTGGGCTTGGTAGCAGGTCCAGCTGTTTAGCTGGTTGTGACACATTTCTGATTGCAGTATCCCCTCACCAGGGTCTGCATGAACTTGCTCTTCTCTTGCACTGAGTAGTCAGCAAGCTCTGTTTTCCCCTCGAAGGTCACAGACATCTGGTCAGTCTTCTGTGCGTGGAAGAAGTAGGCTTTTTCCTGTGTGACGTTAATCACAAACATAACTAGGTGCCGTTACGGAGAGCTCTGTGTTAGCTTCTTCCACTGACCCTTTCCTTGTCGCTGAAACTTCTAAAATATTTATGATAGCAGAATATTGCCTCATGCATATATATTTGTACCATTCTGTCCTTTCTCTTTGGTTGCATATGTATTCTTTTTTCCCCATGAATATGACCAATGCCATAAGCTTTTTGTAAGTATATATCTATTTGCGTCTGAATATTTCTTTAGATGGGTTAGGGATGGAACAGCTGTTGCTGATATTTCAGCTCTGGGTGCTGATGACTTTGGGAATGAGGAGCCGGTTCAGGGCGCGGCCTCACGAACGCAGCCCTCTGCCTGGAGGCGGGCCCTGTTGCTCTTGGTCAGCGAAAGTTGGGTACTGCCTTCAAACAGATTGTCCATTTGTTTTAATTTTTAATGCTTTTTAAATGTTTAGTATAAACACTTTTTTTTGTCATTTGTGTTTCTCTTTTCAGGAAACTTTTTTTGCTCATTTTCTTTTGGGGTGTAATGTTTTTATTTTCAGTTATAAGGAATATTTTAAAGTTGTTAGTGTTCAGGCAACTGAATGAGCAGAAATCAACCAGCTACTTTGTTAGCTCTTGTTAATACAGCAAATTTAGAAACATCCTGCCAACCATAAATCTGAGGCAAAAACACGAAGATTATATAAAGTGCTCCTGTAAATCACCTTCGGAGTTTTTCACTCATGTACAGTGTGGATAGCTGGCTTGGTCCATGTGTACAGTGTTGTTAATTATTACCCCAAATATCATTGCAATAATATCTATTGAAATAATTTTTTTTTGGAATAAATAGTTACACTTGAAAATTATTTGCTTAGTACAGGAGTCTTTGATAGTGGTCTACCAGGATGTTGATGCCTGTTTTTAAATATCTGTCTTTCAGCCAGACAAAAAAACAATTGTTCTTACAAAAATCGTTTTAAGATTTGGGTTCTAGTGGTATGGAGTTTTTTTTGTTGTTGTTGTTGTTGTTGGATTCAATTAATGTAAAGTATTAGAATTAGTGGCAACTAAATCTGTATTTCATATAACAGCTAACAAAATGAAATAAATATAGTTAAATGAGCTTGTATTCTTTCTCAACCTTTGTGTACTGGAGGGGAGAGAGGGAATGGAGGCCCCTCTCCCCAGAAGAGTGGTATTAAAATGATCTCCTTTTTGGTCCTTATTAGGGAATAAAAGTGAGTGTGGTGGAGGTGGGAGAGGCGGTCAGGCCCTTGTAGGAGACCCACCGCCACAGGGCCGCTGCCGCATTTTGCCCGTGTGACTGGCAGCTGTTTTTCTTTCTTACGAAAGAGTGTTCTAGACTGCAGAAACAGTAACTTAAAAAATGAGTAGACGTTTTTCTCTTTAAAGTTATCTCTTTGTGTATATCATCTTTGTGTGTATGGATGAGTCGGCGCTGCTCGGTAATTAGACCTTTACAAGGAGTTCCCAGTGCCGGACTGTTAAGCTGTGTGGTTAGCGGTCAGCGCAGACGCTGAGCGGCACTGCCCGGGTGAGTCTGCAGTCCTCCAGCACCGCGCTGTGGCCACGAGCCCGCTTCCTTGTCTTCTGCCTCAGTTCCCTCATCTGGGGGCGGGGCTGCGGCCACAGCCCTTACTTCCTGGGGTCATGGGGCCCCAGTCTGTGTAGTGCACTTACCCATGCGGCCTGGGGCTGGGGGGGCACCTTTGCAGGCACCCCTCCTAGCTGCCGGGCCATACGTTGGGCAGCGGATGGCGTTTGCAGGAGGACCTTCGTGGTGGTTAGAGATTCCACAGACCGGAGGTTTGAAACAGTCTGAGTCTCACAACTTTGGACCCTTGGCCTTGAGAAATAAATCAGATGGGTGATTTGATCAAGTCGCTTTTAAGTATAGTAGCCTCAGCTATAAATACAGGTTGAAGGAGGTGATTTGCAATTGGGAAGAAACTGTTTCAGGGTTTTTTGTTTTGTTTTTTTTAAGAAACTTCTTACAATTTTTAACAGTCCTCCATGCTGTTGAAGGTGCATCTCCAGATGAGCAGGTGCTTCCCGCTGGAGATGCCTGCGACGTGCAGTCAAGTCCTCGCAGGGCCTGCCGTCTGTTTCCGTCAGACTTGATGTTCTCCCAGCACCCTGGAGAGGGCAGCACAGAATTACAGACGGACCTCACGCTTGGCTCCTGAACAAGCTGACGAAAGAGCGGTCATTCTTGATTTTGTGTGTGAAACTGTCTGCTGTGAAGGTAGCCCGGCAGGAGATGTATTGTGTTTATGTATTTATTGGACCCCAGTGCAGGTGTTGCTTTGCTTCTGGGATTCTTTCTTTGTAGGTCAACCATAAAAACACAAGCACATCCATGTTAAGTATGTTGTGATATATTTTCAAGGTGCTGGGTAAAGAGATTCAAGGGGTGTTTCGGGTGTAAGTTAGATTTTTTAGGAATTAAAGGACCAGATTATCCCTTATGAATTCAGTCTGCTTATGAATTGGGTTCCTAGTCATTTGTTCGAGCGTGACCAGGCAGTGAGAAGTTCTGAGTCCAGCGTCTAGCATGTGAATTCTCGTGTGGGGAAGAGTTGCAGCATTATAGGGATTTCAGACTTCCATCATATGGGTCATCAGGTTCCTTTTCTTTTTTTTTTTTTTAATTTTTTTATTGTTATGTTAATCACCATACATTACATCATTAGTTTTAGATGTAGTGTTCCATGATTCATTGTTTGTGCATAACACCCAGTGCTCCATGCAGAACGTGCCCTCAATACCCATCACCAGGCTAACCTATCCTCCCACCCCCCTCCCCTCTAAACCCTCAGTTTGTTTCTTAGAGTCCATCGTCTCTCATGGTTTGTCTCCCCAATCAGGTTCCTTTTCAATGGGCAGTGGTCACAGGTCCCTTTACTCAGAGGCTTCATTTCGGAAGAATGTCATTGAGGATGCTGTTCTTTATACTCATTTATATAAGAAAAGATGATTTTTCTAGAAGGAAAATAAAGTATTTGGGAGTACCTTAGACTATTAAAGGGAAGAACACTTATTTTAACACTATTGCTAATTTGCCTTGGTCAGGGAAGGCTTTTGAAAAGGATGTGAATTTAAATAGTCAAGACATAGAGGAGGACACACCATCCGCTTTAATCTTGAGGACTGAAATCCCTCATCCAGTGAGGAGTTGTTGAGGGCCTACTTTGTGCTGCCTGTTCTTGGTATCCGGTGACAGGCATGACAAACAGGGTCCCAGTGGGGCCTATTAGGGCAGGATGGACATTTAAACAAGAACTTAGAATGCATGGCGATGAGTTGTTTGATGTGGACGAGACCAGGTGCTCTAGGAACATAGAAAGGAGACACCTGGCAGACGTGGGTAGCATACTGGGCTCCACAGTGGTGCCCAAGGCTGCACCTGGACGTGAGTGTGTCCGTGAAGGGAAGAGTGTGGGGGTGGGGAGGATGGGCCAAGGGCCAGGCCTTCAGGGCCTCACAGGCTGGGTCTCGGGTCAGTCTGAATTCAGTGGCAGGGGGAGCCATGGGAGGGTCTGTACCAGGGAGTGGGGCATGCTCGGACTTGTTTGGTTCTGAAAGTCACTCTGGCATCACTGAAGAAAATGGGTCTCAGAGGCAAGGCTGGAGGTTGGCAGAGGCGTCGGTTGTGATCCTGTGGGAGGGTGGCCGTGGTGGACATAGCATCCTGGGGTTGGGGAGAGTGCATGGACTTGAGGGAGCTCTGGGGGCCAGGGCTGGGTGATTGGGCTCTGTTTTGAGCTGGGGATGGGGGGGGGCATTCACCAGGCCCGGAGTGCTGGGGGAGGAGCACTTTGGGGGTAATGCTTCCGTTTCAGATACATTAGTTTGAGATGTTTTTAAGAATATATGGGACGCGGGGCGCCTGGGTGGCTCAGTTGGTTAAGCGACTGCCTTCGGCTCAGGTCATGATCCTGGAGTCCCGGGATCGAGTCCCGCAGCGGGCTCCCTGCTCAGCAGGGAGTCTGCTTCTCCCTCTGACCCTCCTCCCTCTCATCCCTCTCATGCTCTCTGTCTCTCATTCTCTCTCTTGCAAATAAATAAAATCTTAAAAAAAAAAAAAAAATTAAAGTTTAAAAAAAAAAAAATATATGGGACGCATCTGTTGGGTTGGTCGGAAGCCCAAGGCAGATCAGACCTAGAGATTAAAGGTGTAGACGCAGTTCGTGTAGATGATCCTGGACGCCATGGAATCAATGAGATTGCCTCAAAATGGGGTGAAAAGAGAAAAGGTCTTGCAGCAAGGAGCAGCAGAACAGGCCCTCCTAATGGAGACGAGGAGAAACAACCAGAAAGATGGGCAGTGGACCCGGAGAAGGTGGTCTCTCTGAAGCCACGGGAGGAATGCTCCAATATGGCAATGGTGCAGGAAACCAGCTAAGGTAGAGACTGGGGACTGACCCCAGCCGCCCCTCGTCTTTGGCAACGGGCCAGGGCACATGTAACAGTCCGGGGGAGAGGACGCGAGCACGAGCAGAACGGGGGCCCAGAGTGGCCTGGAAGCTGCACAGCGGAGGAGAGCTTCCTGCCTAGGCCACGGCTCTTGGGGAGGGCGGAGGGGAGCTGTGGTTGGAGGACCCCAGGTAGTGGTGGCTGGAAGCCGCTGTCTTGGAGTCAGAGAAAGGAGAGGGCTTCTGGGCAGCATGGAGGACCAGCTGAGGCCAAATGCCGGGAATTTTAGGTTGGTACCAACAGGAGTCCAGGATGGTTTCTGTAGATGCTTCTGTTTTGTATTCATTGAGCTGCATTTTCATCTCCATATCTGGGTGACATGAGAGATTCTGGTAGATTAATGGCAGTGGAGAGATTGTGCTCTGAAATAAATCCAAGATAATAAAGTGGAGTCGGTGACTTAGTCACTGTGTTATCAAACTGTGTGAGTACCGGGCAGAAGTTCCTGGTTTATGAAGGAGCTCAAAGATGAAATGTGAAAAATGTTAGCAAACTCGTATAATGTACAAGTAAAAACACATTGTCCAGGTAGTGCTGGATTGTCTGTCAATGGGACCTCAGTGGAAACACCCGAGAAGACCACTGGACAGAGAGACCAGAGCAGGAACAGCGCGCCTTTTCGTGGGATTGAGCTTTTCCCCTTGTGTGCAGAACACTGACTAGGAGCTAGATGCTGAGACGAGCCACACAGATTTCTGTGCTTCTGTGACACACGGGGCCCCGGAGACAGCACCGAGAGGAGCCTGCTTTATCATCCTCATGCGCGTCCGTCAGGATATGCCATGAGGTCTACAGTTTTGTCAGCGATGTTCGACTCTGGTAGAAAAATGGGAGGATGGAGAAGTGTCAACTGCGTAGATGCCTCACAAGGCGGAAAATAAACAGCTGACGGCGTTCGCCGTGAGTCTGAGCAAAGCAGCACATCTTAGGAAGCAGTCCGCGTGCACTGGAGGGGAGACTCGGAGACACGGGCTATTGCAGCGAGACCTGGTGTCCTCACGGGTGTGGTTTGTAAAGGGGCAGGATGGATGGCGCACACCTGCGCGCGTGCTGGAGGCTTTAAATACACGCAGTCTCTCCAGGTAAGACCGCCTGGCCTTCGGGGGAAGGGTAGCACGGTCCCTGTCATTCCAGCTCTGGGCTGAAGCCCAAACGGAGTTGTAAATGGCAGTCCTGACACCGTGATGTGGATGACTCCCACTTAGAACAGCATTTTATGACTCTCTTTTATGCCGAAAGTAATTTAGGTAAATAGGCTTTGGGTATCAGGTGAGACACGTCAGCCCCCTTTGGTAGTTTTAGTAGGAAAAGTACATTCTTCATTTTGGGCTTACAGATGACATGGCAGCCCCTAACCTGTTCTTCCCGGGAGTATTTACGCCATCCAGGGATATCGGGTTCCTGACGGTGGGGAAGGCGCCAGGGGGTTTGGAGCGTGTGCTCATCCCCTGGGGTGGCCTGCTGCTCCGCGGGCCAGTGGTGCGTGCTGAGCCAGGCCAGCAAAGTCCCCACGGGGCACTTCATCCGTTTTTAAAGTCTATATCCCACTGTTCTGTCATGTGTTTCTGTTTCACTTCCTTATTACTCTTAGGAAGGGACAAGAATGATTTCTCAAAGAACTGCATGCAGCAACGATTATTTACCTAAGGAGCTAATTAAAGGCATTTGGGGTGGCAACAAAAATACGTCCGGTCTGACCCACATTGAAATGTGCTTGTAAGCATTTTCTGTGGTGACCCCATCTGCTTGAGCCCTCCTCTACCGTGGTGTCCCCTCGCACCCTGGTAGGGTCTTTGAATGAAAAATTGAAAGTATGAGCGGAGAATGCCTGCTCTGTGTGACCTCTAAGCCTTTTGGTGGTTTTATAATCTTGCAAAGAACAGGAGCAGAGTTGGGGCTCAGGCCCATCGCCCTCCTGGTTCCTGTTCCTCTCGGGTGACAAGATCCCTTTCGGGCCCTCAAGGAAATGTCACTTTTGCCTCCAGATCGCTGGGAGTCGTGAAGTCTTGCCCAGCAGCAGGCAGACGTGTTGTAAAGAAGCCGCAGAACTGAGTGAATATTCATACTTATACAATGAAATGCGTCTGTTTAAGTTTCAGATGCAGTTGTTCTATTTAATGCCATTCCTTATCAGGTCCTTACATTATATAAAGTAAAATAATGCTACGTGGTGAGACAGCTAAACCCTTGAGTAGCTCGAGTGGCGTGGAACTTGATAATGGAAGGACTGTTTCCTGTTTTAAGGGGTTGGCAGTGAAAGCTGGTGGTGGTTTTTGAGAGGGGGGCGCAGACGTCTGGCGGGGGCGGGTGTGGCTGTGTACGTGTGTCCCCGCGGCGTCCGACACCAGCTCCTCGCTCTCTTGCAGAGTTCTCCGGGGTGCTGCACCAATGTCACGTTCTGGCCTCTGAGATGGTCCATTTCATTCACCAGATGCAGTATTACATTACGTTTGAGGTACATTCGGAGCAGCCTTTGACGTTACTCTAAATGAGTCCTGTCTTGGGCTTTTGTGTGGGGTATTTTGTCAAAGATGCAGGAAGACACGCCTCGTACCTGAGTGTCGCGTTGTTGTTTCCTAGGTGCTTGAATGTTCTTGGGATGAACTTTGGAACAAGGTGCAGCAGGCCCAAGACTTGGACCACATCATTGCGGCACACGAGGTCTTCCTGGACACCATCATCTCCCGCTGTCTGCTGGACACCGACTCCAGAGTAAGACCCACGTGCCGTTAGGAACAGAAACAATGATAGTCTTCTCCTCTTGGGCTCCTGCCACATGGGGCATCTTAGAAATTGCCTGGTGCCCACATCACTAGTAACTAGGGCTGTTTTACTAATAATTTGAGGTGCTGGGTGGACCCTTTCTGAGTGGAATTAGAACGAGAACGTGCTCTGAAATGGTTATGGAAGTGGCAAAGCGTGTACTCGCACCCACCCACTTCCTCGGTGTCACAGTGCTGGTGTCTCATGGGGCTCAGAAGACAGAGGTGAACCACCGCGCTGGTTTCGTGTTGGGCCCTGAGTAAACCAGGCAAGTGTGCGAGGACACAGCAAATGGCCGCCCGTCTGTGAGTTCAGGAGGACGGCGTGAGGACATGCAGAGCGCTCCAGGCTGTCCCTACGTGCTCTTGTCTAGGGACAGTGGTCTTTTATGTGTTTGCCTTGGTTAAGTGAGTGTCTGGCTGCATGTGTTAGAAAATAGGCGGTTTGTCTAGAAAAACTGTAAGCGTTCCACAGCCCCAGCTTGTCGCTGGTGTTGCTCCCATGTAGACACCTGAACGTTGCTGTTCCGTGTGGCCAAGCCTCGTGGAGTTCTGGTCTTATTTACACGTCTGGGGAAGCAAGGAACACGTTGTTCTCAATTGAAACAAAGGTATTGTGACGTAAGAGTCTTTAAAATTTCATGTGCGTTTTTGACATTAAATGTGACTTCAAGTAAGTTTCTCGCTCACAAAGGGCTGCTTCTGCTTCTACCTGCACCCTCCTCAAGGGAAACGCGCTGCTTCACGGAGGGCGTTCATTTAGCATATCTGGGTTTCCCAGTCGTGGCTGGGAAACACCCGTCTTGGTTTGCCAAATTTTATTACTAAAACTGTCGCTCATATGTGCAAAAAATTGCTCAAAGATGCTTCTATATAGAAAGCTTTTATAAATATATGGAAACAATGGCACAAAAGTAATTTTTAAAACAGTTTGGATATAATTAGTAATTTAAGAAATGCGCACCTGCAGCCTTTTGGCCTTGGCCACGGTGAGTGAGCTTCGTCTGCGTTGGCTGAGCCCATAGCTGCGGTCTCTGTGAGCCGTCCGTCTGTCGGCACACGGGTCCCCCGGGAGCAGTAGACGAGCCTCCTGCGCTGTCGGAGGCGCTCACGTAGTAACAAGTGGGACGCTGTTCCCTGGGGCTCTGCGGGCACTGCGCTGTCTCGTGTTCAGAGGGTGTGACACTCGTCTCGTGTAGGTCTGCGAGAGGTGAATGGTGTAATTCACGGAAACCGTTTATCACGGTGCCTGACGCGTAAATGTTCGCTAGCTCCGTTTTTAAATGGTTCAGAGCCACGGTGCGCGTCTTACAGAGATTGAGCGTGGTTGGAGTCTGCTTTGCAGGAGGCGGGAACTTGTTAGGATTAGGCCCACAGCGACATCGGTCTCCATGTGGGGTGTAAGGAGCCGTCAGGGGCTGGCAGCGTTGGGGTTCAGCCATGTCCACGAGTGACAGTTCCGTACAAAACAGTCACACCTCTTGCCTCTGGAAGGTTTCCACTGATAGGAACAGAATCCAGGGAGAAACATTTTTGCCTGTAGGACCGTTTTCTCGTGGTCATGGAATGCTTACGTGTGGGTTGCCCGAGTCACTCCTTTGGTGGAGTCCCAGTGGAGCTAAAGGCTTGGTAATCGTTTTTGAAGTAGCCCGTTTGCTGATGGTTTTACTTTTATTTTATTATTTTTTTTAAAGAATTTTTTATTTTTTATTAGAGAGGGGACACAAGCAGGGGGAGCGGCAGGCAGAGGGAGAAGCAGACTCCCCGCTGAGCAGGGAGCCCGACGTGGGGCTCGATCCCAGGACCCTGGGATCATGACCCGAGCCGAAGGCAGACACCCAACCGTCTGAGCCACCCAGGCGCCCTGGTTTTACTTTTAATTTGGTGGTTTAAAAGAATCACTAGAGGTTTTATTTTTTAAGGAACCCAGTATACAGAACAGATTCGAACCGTCTGTTCTTGACAGAAGTGAAGTGCGTTTCGGTATCTCCTTTAGTAAGGAGACGAGGCTGTTGGCTGGGCGCATAGTTTTGAAGGGGGTTTGTGGCCGGGCGGCGGCAGCGCGTGCACGTGTGTGGTCCTCGTCTGGGCGCTGCTGCAGCCCTGCTGCGCACCGGGGCCGCCCCGGACGCACGTTCCCGCTTCTCCTGCCCGAGCCGACTGCTGCCGCGGCCCTTCCCGCCTTAGCTTGAAGCCAAAGCAGTCACCTCGTAGATGAATTAACTGCTCCAGAAATAGCAGTTCTTATTTGATTACAATAAAGAAACAGATTGGAAGAAATGAATCTTTTTTAAAAACAAATTAGACTATCTCCATCTTTTGTTTTGCTTTTTTCTTATCAAATAAGACCCTCCAAGAGAACAAGCAGCCTTGCAGTGAGCCTGGTGTTTGCCGTGAGTCCTGGGCCGCCTGACCCAGCTGCAGCGGCCACGAGTTAGTGAGATTGGTGCCTGTGTGTTGCCGACCCTTCGAAGGGACATGTTCGGGCAGGGTGGAGCGCGCCCCCCACACAGGGGTGTGGGGATGGTGTTGCGTGTGTCCTCACTAGCCCCTGCGTCTTCCACCCTCAGTGAGCCGGGGTGCCCGTTCTCGCCAGCTCAGCTTCCTTGCCGCCTCCTGTCCGTGAGCTTGGAGCCCCGCCTGTTTCTTTCTCTCTTCATGCTTCTCAGTCAAGTCCTGTCATCTTTCTCCCATAACCTCTTGCCAGTCTTTTCTAGGTTATTACTACCATAAATGTGGTGGTTGGCTGGTTTGGAGGAATGGTATTCATTTCATTACTTTGATTTTTTATCCATTTTTTTTTTTTTTCATCCCAAGGGTTTCTAGATCTGCTTAGATCCTGTTTTTACAAGGAAAACCAGTTTTGTTTCTTTCTTTCCAGAGGGTCTGTTTTCTGCTTTGCCTTGCCTTGGGGTGTTAGCTGGGTCCACCAGGAGCATGGGTAGGTCTCCTTATCTCATCCCTGACATTAAAGGGATGTTTTATTCTTTCACCATTCACTTTGATGTTTGCCAAGAGATCTCATAGAATCTTTTATCAAATTAAGGAGGGTCCTTGTAGTCCTAGTTTGTTTAGATGCCTCGTAGAAGTCATGAGTGGCTGTTAAGTTTTAAGACATGACTTTTTTTCCTGTGATTTCGAAATTATCTTTTCTCCTCAAATTGTTAATGGGTTTTTTTTAAATCGAAGCTGGCAGAGCATAGAGTTGACCCTGCTCTTCAGTCGTGTGCCCTCAGCCGTCCGCGGAAGACCGTGCGTGTTGGTTGTGTCATATCCCCACCCCCGCCGGCGGCACAGTTGTCTTTGTGTTTGCTGTGCCCCCTTGTGTGTATATTTGGCGTTTTGCATGGATGTGTTTTTGATTTACATAAAAGATCTTTGCTACAGATCCCTTTCTCTTGCCCTCTCTCCACACCGCAGCACTAGGGAAGGGCAGTGTGTTTGCAGGGTTAAACCATCCTTGCATTCCTGCCCAGTGCTGTTTTTTTAAACACTGTGCTGAATTTGTTTTTTTATTATATTAAGAATCTTCTTTCTCATATCCTCCATGTCTGGTCTTGGTGGTGTGTGTGGCACCAAAAAGTGAATCAAATGGACCTGCTTTCCCGGCCCTTTCTGATGCTTGCTGACGGCTCCGTGATGTGGGGCCGCGCTGCGGCTCGTGAGGCCACTGTGAGGGGAGTTCAGTACACAGCAGTGGAGGCAAAGAGCACTTTGAGAATATGAATTGATACCTTGTTTTATAGTCTCTTTTTGTCTCCTCCTCAGGCACTTTTAAATCAACTCAGAGCCGTGTTTGATCAAATCATTGAGCTTCAGAACACTCAAGACGCGATATACAGAGCCGCCCTGGAAGAGCTACAGAGACGACTACAGTTCGAAGAGAAGAAGAAACAGCATGAAGTTGAGGTATGGCTTTTCTGCTAGTGGGCTATCAGTTCTAATAATGAGCTTATTGCCACCATCGTCACAAATACAAGTAATTTTCCTGCTGAAATGTTCTTGGAGACGGTGCTCACACCTGCATTTGGAATCCTAAGGAGGCGCTGACCTTTCCTCTCGGAGTGGTCACCCTCGCTGTCATCCTGTTGTGGGCATGAGGACAGCGTGCACTGGAATCCCGTGAGTAAGCCCGTGGGCGCTGGTGGCTCTGCAGACTGGTCCTAGCTCTGCATCACCTGGTCACCTCCAGCTGGTGGACACACATGGACACGGGGGAACCAGAGCTCTGAGCTTGGGGCTACTTTCATTGACCTTCCTAAACCCATGACCTTGGGTAGTGAAGATGTATTGAACAAGTTTGGCAGTTTATGGGATTTCTTGTATTTGACATCATCTCTGTAATTTTTACTTTTCCAAGGTGTTTATTCTTGGGATGCTGACAAATTATTTAAAGGATTTATTTATTTATTTATTTATTTATTTGGTGGGGGGAGAGAGAGAATGAATCCCAAGCAGACTCCCTGCCAAGCGCAGAGCCTGATGTGGGGCTTGATCCCACCATCCTAAGATTGTGACTTGAGCTGAAATCAAGAGTCAGACGCTTAACCCACTGCGCCACCCAGCAAATTTTTTAGATAACACAGTTTGATTAGTTTTATTTTTACATGTTACCTTAAAACTTGTGTTAGGATCCTGTTCCGTTTGGAAAACTCGCAACCGCTTAGAGCACATGCTGTCTCCTCAGGGTTTTTTGGAAACAGGAGGAGGGCTTGCTCCATTTGTATTGCTGAGAGTGGGTGTGTGTGTGTGTGTGTGTGTGTGTGTGCAGCACACCCAGGTGCCAGGCCAGCTGAAGACTCCCCCTGACCGTGCTCACTGGTGTTGTGGGTGGTTTGACTTCTCTAAGGTGTCCCCTCGTTGTACAGTGGGAGCGGTACTAAGACCCCATAGAGGGGCTCGCTGACGTGTGTAGGGCTTAGCTGTTATTTGGCATTTGGCAAGCGTACAGTAAAAGCTAGTCACTGCTGTGATTTTTAAAGCTGCCCACAGCCTGAGAATCCGCCCTTCTGGAGAATCACTAAACTACATAAAATCTATAAGAATCAGCCCTCCGGATTTTCACACTCTTCTAATAGCAGGGTGGCCAGTTGTGGGACTCACTGGCTCTCTCCGACTGTAAACTGTCAGCACCGGAGTGAGACAGGTCTACATAAGGAGTCCTGATCATTCAGTGTGTTTCATTCCGATGCGCTCAGGGATCCCTTTGGGCAGCTGAAAGCTGGAACTGTATCTGAGAAATTAAATTCTGTGGGCAAAATAATTGAAAAGCAATCACTGAGACCTGGGGTCCATTGCAGTTTTAAAGAGACCATTCGAGAGGACTCATCCCCGAGCTCCAGGGCCCTGCGTGCGCTGTGACGAGCCAGCGCCTTCTTCAGCCCCTGAGTGGACCCAGTCTTCCTGTCAGACGCGCTCCGTCCCCCCATGGTTCTCTGCCTCCTTTCTTCTTTCCCTTAGGTTTATAGTGATATTTCCAATTCAAGTTTAGGATTAAAGGGACTTTGTTTTCTTTATCTTCTACATTGGAAATCCTGGTTTCTAGTATTAGCAGACTGTGACTTGCTATCTAACAGCCCCTCCCCCCCAGCGTACACAGATGTGCCCACAGCTGTCTCCACACGTGTGCCCCAGCAGGGCAGCGACGGTAGTTACCGAGTGGGATGCACACTAGTTGTGCACATCAGAATCCAGGTTGTAATGCACTTGGCATAATCACTCCCTTGAGGTTATGCCCCCAGCTCAGTATGCAAATTAATTGGTTTTGTTTTTTGCTTTTAACTTATAAAACAAAATTGAATTTACTCTTGTAAAATAGTTACCTGGTTCTAAAGTGAAATCTGTGGAACAAAGCATTTAGACAAGCCTGGCCTTTGTTGCCTCCTGCTCTGTGCTGGTCTGCGTCACGAAGCCCGAAGACCGTGTCACTGAGTTGGGATGTATCAGGGGGTAGGACATTACAAACAAGCTTTGGTTCATCCCACAAGTACAAAGTTCGTGTATCGTTCTGATGAAAATGTTGTAATTCACCACATTTACAAACTAAAGGAGGAAATTACATGATCATCTCAATAGATGGATAAGATCATTTGATACTAATTGAATATCTGATAGAAGGTTTGCTTGAAAGGCCTGAGTCAAAACCGCATGCTTAACGGTGCAGTCCTGGGACTGAGACCCAGGGCAGTGAGCACTTCATTCAGTGTGGTGGTGGTGGTCCCACCTGCCTTAGAAACCAAGACAAACAAATACAAGTGCAAACACGCAAGCGAGCTGTCTTTTTCTGGGGGAGTGGTGGGGGGGGGGGCACAAGTCATGGTTGTGGACGTAGAAAATCCAAAATAATTTTAGGTAAGTTAACTAGAATTAATAAGTGAATTTATCAAAGTAGTAGGAAATAAGGTCCATATGCAGAAATCACTTCTATTTCCATCAGCCACAAACAATTTGAAATTTTAAAATGCCTTTAAAAGAGCATTAAATGTAATAAAATCTGTGTAAGGCCCTTGTACAGAAAACTATGAAACAGGGCTTGGCAACCGACGGTCTGCAGGCCTGGCCTCCCGTGTGTCTCTGTGGATGGGGCTTCGTTGGAGCAGCCGTGCCAGTGATTTCCGTGTTGTCTGTGGTGCTCGTGTGCTCTGTGGTAGAGCGGAGTGACAGCGTAGATCAGGTGGCTCACAAACCCCGGAGGACGAGCTCTGTGGCCCCTAACCACAGCACCACAGAGATTGCAGAGGGCCCCTCGAAAAGTGGAGGCGTAGACTGTATTCATGGATTGGGGAACTGATAGATTCAGTGCAATCCCAGTTTTAATCCCCAACAGTTTTGGGATTTTTTGTGGGTTTAATTTTGGGGGGGGGGGATAGAAAATGATAAACTAATTCTAAAATTCATGTGGAAATACACAGGGCGTAGCTTGCAGTGAAGAGAATTTTGAACAAGAATAAATTAGACAATATACATTTTTAGTTGAGTATACATATACCCTTAAGATCTACAAAATTACGGCAGTGAAAAGAATGGTGTTGGCTCAAACAAGGGCAGTCGGGAGCAGAGTAACGTCCAGAAACAGCCCTTCACATTCTGGGATCATTTGTTCTCGACTGAGAACAGTGGGGAGTGGAGCGTCGATAAATGGTGTTAGGCGGCTGTATCTCGACCCTGCCTCGAACACACGCAGCCACCACGGGGTGGGCTGTGAATCTGCACGTGAAAGGTAAAATGCTAAAGCTTCCAGAAGGTGACAGAACAGCTGTAAAAGAGATACAGGTTTTAGGATTGTGTCACTACGAGACAACTCTGTTGATAAAAAGGCAAGAACCCAATGCGAATTCCCGCGTAGGCTGGCTGAAAAGGCGTGTAGTCAGACTCACCACTCCTTAAAAACCATCTTTTAAAAACAAAGTTGATGTATCTCCGGTACAAAAAGATCCGCCGTGTGTGGGAGAAATAATAGCAAGAAGCATTCCCACCAAAGTCAAGGGTTAACGGGCTCCAGTACTTTGAACCATCTGGTTCGGCTTTTACGTAGAAGGTCTGTGCTAGAAATGTGTCCGCAGTGATGGGAAGATACAAGGCGTTGTTTTTAGTAACAGAAGCCTGGTTAGCTCGTGACAAACGATCGGAAGCGTTACACGCTATGCAGTGTAGTCGTTAAAAACAAGGAGGGGGTTCTCTGTGTGCTCATGTGTGCTGACGGAGGGCATTTCTGAGGTAGCTTACTAGTTGGAGAAAGTAAGCGAGAGCACTGTTCCGCATCAGCAGAGTGTCGTCAGAGTGTTTAGCAGCACGAAGGGTGTGAGAAGCATACATCTCCCCGCCCTGCCCTCCAGCCCAGTCCCACCCTGGCAGCTTCTTGTGCCCAGATTTAATTTAATCTGGTCCTTCCGATTCTTCAGGGCCGGTGGGGAGTGACAGCGGCAGAGGAGGAGGACGAGAACAAGAGGATTCAAGAATTTCGAGAATCTATACCGAAAATGTGCTCGCAGCTGCGGATTTTGACACACTTCTACCAGGTGTGTGTTGGGGTGACACCGCGGTGCCCGCATCGCGCTGCTGGTTTTCTGCAGTTGACTGTTCCTGTCAGTGTGATTTAGAAAGGAGTCCTTTCAGCCTGCCCACCACCCACAGTGGGGCTCTACCTTCCCCTGGACCCTGGGCTGACGGGGGCTGCTCTCCTGGGATGGCTGTGGTGGTGTCAGCCGGGGGTGGGAGCCCTGCGGGGACCGGGCGGAGCTGTGCAGCCTCAGTCCTGCGGGGGCCCGAGGTGAGGCAGGAGGGTGCGAAGGCGTGCGGGGAGCCGCTGTGGGGGACGCGGAGCACGCGAGGCGGCGGGTGCTTAACTTGGGGCCCACAGACCCGGGAGGCTGTGAGAAGAGCAGATACACAGAGTCCGTGTGCTCTGATGTTTATTTCTGTGTTGTGGGTTTGGTTTCTGATTCCGTCTGTTTCTCAGTGTGATTTTAGTGATGGAAATATAGGTGAAAGAATTTTATGAAGAATTTTTACATTCAGTTGCTCGTTAACTGATTCGAAAGACAAATAAGCATTGACGTTGAAACCTTGAAAAATTAACGTTTCTGTGTGCTTTTGTCTCCGTGTGGTTCAAAATTTAAAATGAAACTACCTCCCTGTTCCATAGGCATCTGGTTTCCTTCCCGGGGTCCTCGTACTTTCGACGGCTGTCTCAGCATAACGTGGACGTGGGAGGACTTTGTCCCTTTCGCAGGTGGTCTTCCTCTGACATGAGCTACCCAGCACGTTTGTTAAAAATGCTTCCTAAATGGTGGCAAAGATGGAATTATGTTCAGTGCAAAGATACATCCTCACCGGACAGGTGTTTCGATAATGAGATAGCTGCTAGACCCCGTATTGTAAACCCTGTATGGGTACATTTCTTAAAAATGAGTAGTGACGGTTAGTTTCATACTCTTGGTGAAGTTAGTAGCGTACCGGCAGCGGAGTAAAAAAGTGTGTGCTCGTGCTCATTTCTGAAAGAGACAGGGATGGTTACACATTTTCCTGAGAGACTTAATACATTTGTTTTAAAGATTTTATTTATTTATTTGAGAGAGAGAGAGAGACAGGGGGAGATCACGAGCAGGGGAGTGGCAGAGGGAGAAGCAGGCTTCCCGCAGAGCAGGGAGCCGGACGTGGGACTCGATCCCAGGACCCCGGGATGATGACCTGAGCCGGAGGCGGATGCTCAACCGACTGAGCCACCCAGGTGCCCTGAGACTTAGTGCATTTTTGAAAAGTAATCTTAATCTGTATAATCCCAGTTTTTCTCAGATTACAGTCTTAATCTTCTTTCTAAATCATGGCCACTGGGATTTCTTTTCCTTAACAGAAAAAGTCCTTTTCTGTTCTTTTTGAATTATTGGTGCCCGGAGCAGCCGGGGGGTTAGCGGCTGCCGTCCCGTACTGCTCACGAGCGGTCTCTCCCGGAGCCGCAGCCTGAGGACAGAAGTGTTGCCCACAGTTCTGTGTAGTGAGCGCACCCAGCGCACCTGACAAGAAACCACTGCCTGTACGCTTCGCAGTAGAGTTCCTCAGCGACTGTCTCGTAAGCCCTTGGGCTCCCCGAAGGACAAAGGGGTGTCCACGGCACCCCAGTCTGTGCTTGGTCAGGTGTCAGTTCCCTTGTGTAACACACCTGAGTCTCCGGGAGCTCGGAGAGGGACCGAGATGCTTTTAGGCTTTGGAAGGACTGATGGGATGTGGTGTTCCCGAGGCGACTTCTCTGCAGATGGGACCTTTTCCAGGTCTGCAAGTGTGGAGACGAACATCACCTACTTTGGGCAGCCACACACCTGCTGGCTGTGACTCAGGAACCCGGCAGGGTTGGGGTGTGTGCTCAGAAGTGACTCCGCCCTGCAGAGAAGCAGCCAGCGTTTGTCGTATGAAAGTTGGAATAGACTGCTGTCATGCCCCCTCGTCTCCACAAAGCCCCCTGAGAAGGAGGTGACGTGGCCGCACTCTGCCTGGTCTTCAGCAAGGCGACTCAGCCCACATCCGCAAGGACCCGGGGGCCCTGCGGTCATGGTTTAGAGGCGTGTGGTTTCTCACGTGCTCCTTTGTGTTCCTGGGAGGGCTCTGTGGTTCAGTACTCCTAACTCAAGTGAGAGATGGAACGTGTAACACTGGGTTTTATATTTAAAAGAAAAAGAATTGGCTTTTTTTAACATCAGAAGCTTCGCTATTTTGCTTATTCTTATAGAACTTAGGGCAAAAAGGAAGTTCTTTTAAGTAAACTGTATTGATTGTGCATTCGTGTTTGTAGACACGGTATCTCTTCCTAACGCGGCTGCCACTGGCTCGCCGACCTCGGGTCCTGGAGCAGCCGTCCTCCCTTTGGGACGCGCCGTGGTGGCCGTTCGTGGATCCCGTTGGTCCTGAAGGAGAAACCGCCCAGATGAGGCCGCAGTGGCGAGGCCGTGGTACGTTTTGTGGAAGGCTCCCTTCTGAAGTGGATATTCCTTTTTCTTGTCTTTAGGGCATCGTGCAGCAGTTTTTGGTGCTGCTGACGACCAGCTCTGATGACAGTCTTCGGTTTCTTAGCTTCCGCTTGGACTTTAACGAGCATTATGAAGCCAGAGAGCCAAGGCTCCGCGTGTCTCTGGGCTCTCGAGGGCGGCGCGGCTCCCACACGTGAACCTTCCCCGTCCTCACAGGGAGCTGCGCACGCTGGGAACTGCATCACGAGACGAACATTCACATTTAAGTCCTCAAGGCCACTGGCATGCTGCGGACGTCCGCCGTTCCTGCCCACAAGTCCTTCAGTGTTTTCGATGGCATGGCGTCTGGTAGAATCAAAGTCATGTTTTTATACATTGGAGGTGAATATATTTGTAATATGACTAAGTTAAACAGGCTGGTTTGCACTATTCAAATTTATTTTCTAAAGTCTTCATATTTAAGAGATACCACACTTTGTTGAGGCTTCTTAAGCTCTCCATGATATAATTTATATTTGTCACTTTTTAAGAACTCACAGTTGCTTTTAGAGAAAATTAGAGCGAATGGATGTTCATTAGTTAAGATGGTAATGTCATTGCTATTTTTTTAACATCCTCCTTAGAGGCAGTTTTTGTTAGATAATCAAATTAAATTGAAACAGAATGTCCCTACTAAGAAAATATAATACAGAGCATTTTATTTTGGTTTGTAGTGTGTAAAATATTAACCTCTGTAAGAATGTTTATCCTTCTTTCAAAGTTTATCTTCTTTCAAAGTTTACATTTTTATATTTAATTTACTCTTTCAGATAACTTCTAAACTAGTGTAGAACTAGTTTAATGGGGGGGGGGGACATGAACAGAACACCCACAAGCCTCGATTTCTCCATCTGTCGGCTGAAGTGATATGTAAATACGATGACTAGAAAGTTAATGAACTATTTTATTTTCAAATTCTGATAAGCATTGGAAAGAAACTGACTTGAATAATGAAGATTTCCTTTCTCCTTGCCTATTTTTTCATTGTAAATATTTATATACTACTGACCAGATGTGGGGGGAACTGTTTTTTGTAAAAATGTCTTATCAAGTCACATAAATCTGCCTTTATGATGTTGCATAAGTGAAACTTAGAGAATTAAAAGCAGTTATCTTTCAGACGTATCGGTTCTTCCTTGAATGAATACTCTGTGAAGAGACCGAGTTCACCCGCCAGGGTCACGGACCGGGCTGGCAGTCTGATGTGAGGCGCATCGGGGCATGAACTGTGCCGTCCGTGAAACCTGGGAAATGGACCGTGTGTGGCCTTAGGGCGGAGCCGGGGGTGGGGGCGGGGTACCCTTCATTCAGCTGTCTGCTGTTCCCGTCTGAGTCCCTGTCCCACCAGAGGGGCGATTAGAAGTCCTGGCTCTGCAGAGATGGATTTGTGGTGAAGGCCAGAACTTTTTAGGATACCAGTTTAGTTTTAGTTTAAAAATTTGTAAAATTGGAAATTGGATGCAGGTTTCTCTACTGGGACGTTTCCCAGAAGTGACAGTGTGTTGCGTACAGGTCCCCCCGCCCAATCCCCAAGTGGGCACACCTGGGCAGACTTTTGCCAGCCCAGACCAAGTAGAGCAAAGCGGCAATCACCATCAACTCCTGCGGGGGCTTGTTTGCGCGCTCCCAGACCCCGAAGTGACCTGTCTTGGGCTTTTTTTAGGACACAGCTTGCCGGCAGGCCCAGCTTCAGTCCTGGAGGCTGGGCTCTGAGGGGCGAGCACAGCCCCGGAGGGCGCTGAGCTCGGCCACCCGCTGCAGACTCTACGCTGAGCTCCTCAGAAAGCGCAAATCCCCTCAGAACAGCTGCTCATGGAGCTGTTCTGTAAAGCAGAGTGGCATAATGTGGACTTTGGAAAAGCAGGGGTTGCCTCTATCTCCCAGAGAAATTTCCCAAAGATTTTTTGACTTTGGAGCCTGTTTTTATTATCTTTAAAGCATTTCTCCTTTAGTCCTCAGTAGAGACCACTCTGGAAAGTGCTAATCCAGATTTGGGGACTAAAACTCCATTTGAGCTTAAGAGCTATCACATAATTAGGCACGGTTTGTGGGTTATGGAGCTCTCTCTGAGAGGGGCCTCCCAGTGGGGCCAGGAGGTTCTGGTGGGTCTCAGGATGGAGTTGGGGGTCTGGCAGACGGAGATGGGGCCACAGAAGGGCCCGGGCAGCCCAGAGGGTGGTGTGTCCATCCAAGAGGCCTTGCAAGAGCTCATTTCAGACCCCACTGGAGACGCCACGTAAACGGGCAGGCCTGTCACAGAGCAGGGTCTCACTTGGTGGTTGAGGTGGGAGGGCCAGTTGCAGGGGCAAATCATCTCTGGAGACCGATGTTCTGGTGTGGCCCTGGGTAATGATAATCGTGCTAACCTTTCAGGTTGTCGTGAAGATCAGAGATCACTGTATGCACCTGGTCAGGCTCTTAGCAGGTTCTTTATAAACAGAGCTGTCATGTTTCTGGTGGACTGGGCAGCTCCCGCAAGCCCAGCTCACCTTTCATGCCATTGAGGATGCCTCTTACTGCCCAGGAAGGTCCGGGACCGTGGCTGCAGGCACAGATCACCCCTGGTCAGGACTTACCTCCCTCGAGTCCTGTCAGGTTGGCAGGCTTGACTGAAGAGGGGAAGGGGGTCACCTGTCCCTCCTGCGTCGCATGCGTATGTCACCAGCGGAACTCACGGCGTCGTGATTCTCCCAGCCCTATGGAAAATGTGTCCTGGCTTGATAGGACAGAACGTACAGCCAACATGAACCTCCCACTTCCTAGGAAGATAGCACTTTTATCCAATAACCACGGTCATGCTCAAGGTGGGTCCCAGGGCACAAAGTCTATGTGATGTGTTGAGTGTTACCAGGGGAGGTCGCGTGGACCACGGAGCGGGCAGGTAGGCTAGTGGCCCATGGTCGGGTGTGGCTCCTCCTGGCTGGGATCGCTGGTGTGAACGCTGTGGCCACAAGCAGTGAGGACAAGCCTCCTACCTCAGTATTCCAGAAGGCCGAGCGTAGCTGGCGGGGCCTCGGTGGGCAAGAGGATGCACCGCCCTGCTCGAGTGCCATTTGCATGTGTGGAAATAATCAGGTGAGTGCAGCTCCCATGTGAAAGGCAGAGCCACTCAGGTCTGTGTCGGTGACTTGGGTGGGGTCGCTCGGGTCTGTGGGACCGTGATGCGGTGGGAAGATCACTGTCCGGGAGGAGTGATGGTCCTTCCCATGACCCTGCTCGGTTTCAACCATGTCCGATCACTGGACACTCTTTGGTGGGTAGGTTATAAACAACCGTTTCCTTTTCTACTCTGCTTATGAGACTACTCAGATTTCTTGAGTTCCAAGCTCATTTTTGTTTCTAGAAAATCGTGTTTTCACTCAGCGCTTTTAAGTTTGTTGGCATTAATTTTTATATAGATGCCTTTATATTTCATTCCTGATATTGTTTGTTTTTGTTTTCCGTTTTCTTCCTGTTCACTTTTACCAGTGTGATTATAGTTTATGCCTTTCAAGAATTATCTTTTGATACTATCATTTTACTATGTATAGATGCCATTTTTTTGCTTTATAAATTACTGTTCTGTATTTAATACCTTAATTTTTCTCTTTTGGTTTATTTTTTTCCCAAATTGAATGCTTACGGAGTTTCTTTTTCTCGTTGTGTTTCTGACTGAATCATTCTCTGCATCAACTTGAGTTACATCACAGGCCTTCATGGGGAGCTTTTCCTATGTCCTTAATTCCTAACTAATCCGTGATTCTCTTATTTTCTTCTGACTATGAATATAGTTACAGTTCAAAATGTCTAGGAAGTTTGCTTTTTTTCCTCCTCTCAATTTTTTTTTCTGAAAAAGAATAATAGAAAAATGCACAGAAATTCGTCAAACCATATATCAAAAAATATAACATTACCCGTATGAAAGAGTGGGACAAAAGAACAGAAAGAAACCTCAACAGACTGAGCAAAGTACCCAAGAGCCGGTGTTCGTGGGTCTTTAGAGTCTTTGACGGTTCACTTCAGAGGTCCGTGAACTGATGAGTCAGCAGATGCTTCGGGATAAATGGCTTTGGGCAAACCGTTTGGAAGAAAATTTAAGAGCTTTACCTCCCACCACACAAGAAAACACATTTACTTCTGGATGGCCATTCACATTGTTTCTAGTATTTGAGTGTATAAAGAGAGCCGCCGCGAACAGGTGTGTAAGAGTCTATGATAAATGCCTTCATTTCTCCGGTGACCAGGAGAGGGGATGGCTAGACTGTCTATGGTAGGCTTACGACTGACTAGTCTTCAGAGACTGGCTGGCGTGGTTAGCGAATGGCGTGGTTAGCGCGGGTCACTCTCTCGTCTGCACTTCCCCGAGTGCCCTCTCACTGCTGGAAGTCCTCACGGGGGGCGCGGTGGCATCATTTCCCTGATGTCCGAGGACATCGAGCGTGTTTTCATAGGCTTATCTACCATGAAATCGTTTCTGCTAAAATATTTGCCCATGTTTTTTGGGTTGTTTTCTTACAGTTTTGAGAATTCTTTATATATCTGGATATAAGTCTTTTATCATATAGGTGATTTGTAAATGTTTTGTCCCAGTTTAAGTCTTTTTAAAAAATTGGAGCATCCATCAGGCTCTATGCTTGTCAGCACAGAGATTTTTATTTCAGCCCGTGGTGTGGACAGAGTCTCCCACAGGTGCGGTTTGCAGGAAAAAGACTCCAGACAAATGAGTATGCGTAGAGAATCATAGCAAGGCTGATAACTCCTTTTTTGTTGTCATTTTAACCACAAAATGAAACTTGTCAGAAGTGGTATCTATGTATTAGTGTGCAATTAGCCAAGAGTCATCGCCATGATTACAGTAGTTTTCAACTGTTGTCAACTTTAAATCATAGCTATTTGTTCAGAGCTGCCTGTCCATCACAGGGGGCTGTTGAGCACTCGAAATGTGCCTACTCTGAATTGAGATGCGCTCTAAGTGTAAAACACACTGCAAATTCCAAATATTTAGTATGAAAAAAGGAATGTAAAATAGCTCAATATTTTTTCATACCGTTACATGTTGAAGTGATATTTTGTATGTTTGCTTAAATAAAATATATTAAAATTAATTTTGCCTGTTTTTGATTTTTTTTTTTTTTTTTTTTTTTTTTTTTAAAGATTTCTACTAGAAAATTACAGATTACCTGTATTCTAGGATTCCGTTCAGGACACCACATGACATTTGGTTGTTATGTCTCCCTAGGGTCCTTCTGGCTGTGACAGCTTCTCAGGCTTTTTTCTATGATCTGGACAGTTTTGAGGAGTACTGGTCAGAGATTTTATAGAATGCCCCTCGGTTGGGTTTTGTCTGATGTTTTTCTCATAATTAGATTGGGATTATAAGCTTTGGGGAGGAAGACCACAGAAGTAAAGTGCCCTTCTCATCACTTGGAATCCAGGGTGCACACTGCCAATGTGGCTTATCACCATGGATGCTGACCCTGATCGCCTGGCTGAGATAGTTTTTCATCCTGTGCTCTTTAGGAGGAGGTCACTGTGTGCAGCCCACATTTAGGGGAAAGGAGTTATGCTCCACCTCCTTGAGGGGGAGCATCTACATAAATTATGTGAAATTCTTCTGCATGGAAGATTTGTCTCTTCTCATATTTCTGACTAGAGATTAATCAGTTTTATTTATCTTCCCAAATGAGCAGCTTTTGTTGTCATTGATTTTCTCTATTGTTTCCTGCTTTATATTTTATTGATTTCTACTCTGATCTTTATTATTTCTTTTCTTCTGCTTACTCTGAAGTTTTCTCTCTCTCTCTTTTTTTTTCTTGAGATGGAAGGTAATTGATTTAAGATCTTTCTGTTGCATTTTACAAATTTTAGTATGTTCTTTCATTATTTTCTTTTCAAAATACTTTCCGGTTTCCCTTTTGGTTAATTCTTTGACCTAGGGGTTATTTAGAAGTTTGTCATTTGGTTTCCAAATTTTTATGGAATTTGCAGATACCTTTCTCTTACTGATTTATAGTGTAATCCCACTGTGGTCAGAGAACATACTTTATATGAGGTGAATCAATTTAAATTTATTGAGATTTGTTTTATGACTCTAGGGTGTATCTTGGTAAATGTTCTGGGTACACATTAAAAGAGTGTTTATTCTA